TTGAAATTCAGCAGGTAGGCAGCCTTTGTCTCCAGACAGCAGTAAAACCGTAGATGTCTGATTCCTTTTCAGATCACACTGGATTTCTATTAATGTGATCTGGGCCTGCAGCTAGTAGCAAATACACATGCCACATGGGGAAGCACTTCATGAGTGCAAGTGGTAATGAGCATGCCTCGATGCCGATAGATCTTACGTGAGAGCCGTTTAATGTTGAATTTGATTATTTTCAACTGGAGGGGCGGACAGGATATCAGAACCATGAGGGATTTTTAAAAAGTAATTGCCACTCTACCTCCCCTCCCCACCCTACATTTGAACCTCGGATTCAGACCCTACAAAAGATATTTAATGAATCGATTTAAAGGCAAGATTACAAACCGGTTGCTTTTTAGTGGAACCTAAGCTGACATGTTTCCTTTGGCCAGTACAGTATGTGTGTGCTTTTACAATTACATTTGCATTCTTCTAGGTGAGGCTGAAAGCTCCAACTTATGATAATCTTTTAATTCCCTAATATTTTGCAACCAGCAACTGCACACTTTTACATTACCTGTCTGGACCCGGAAGGTATATGAAATTTAGACCCCTTATCTAAAGCAAAGAACACACAGAGTGCATCCTTGGAGTAAATTAATTCAGGAACTATAGATTAAAAATAGAGATTGAGCTAGAATTAGAAATCTAATTCAGGAATTAGATTTCAAGGAGAAGAAAACAAACTGGCATATTGTATTGCATTGCAGCGTGCAGCACATTTGAGCATCATTTTTGATTCTTAGTGGACATGATGAATATGACGAAAAACAGACCAATTGCTGGTAGTCTCTTCATTTGTGCTCAACAAATATCCCATTTGAGCATGATTTTATCTTTCTGAGCTTAGCATACACTGTCAGGGGCCCACACTGCCTTTCCCTTGCATTAGTGAAATATATCTTTGGAGGAATTTAATTTAGAAAAATCAAATGACCTACTGTTTGCCCAGCCACTCCCAGATTTGGAAGCTGAATGCAAAAAGTACTTACTGGTGGTGATCCATCTGCCTTTGACGGTCACTGCAAATGGGATCTGCAGGGGTCAGGTCTGGGCGCAGAGCCATTAACTGTTTTCTGTAATGATTTGGAGGATGAAGTGAAATGTTCAAAGAGCTGACTGCTGCAGGACAGATATGCTGCTTAGGAGAAAACTTGTTAATTCTGCTTCAAAACCAGGAACGGAAGCCACAGGACAGAGGAAGAGTGCCATGGGTGCATTAATGAGCAGCTCGTTAGCTTCATGCTGTAGCTCCATAGTCAATTAAATAGTTTGGGTACCATTTCTGGCAAGGAGTGGCAGTTCTACAGAGAGGAAGAGAGATGAAAACTACCACCTCTAAGTTAATTTGGTGACTATGGCTGTCTTATGTGTTTGTGAATTTCAAGAAAAGAGTTGTGTCTAGCCTAGCACTGGGGAAGAATAATGGAGGAGCCCGTGAAGATAGCAAGAGAAGTCTTTGGCTGCCCACCAGTTGGTAGCTATATCGATATCTATTTACCTCAGTTAGGCAGAGTGTTCCTGTCTCCAGTTATCTTTAGGGAGAAAATAGGAAAACTGGGGATGTCAGGCAATCTCAGAATAGAAAATGTGCCCCTCTTCTATAGAATAGGACATGGGCAGACCTACCAGCTTCATCATAGCAGAGGCTGGAAAGAGGTCAGTGAGTAAAGGTATAAATAATGCTGACATACTTATTACTGGTGGAGCAGGCCATGGCCCGAGCAGCCAGATCTGCAAACAACAAAGGGAACATGTGCCACAAGATAGCACATGCTGTCACCTAGGCATCACCCATGGGGCATCTCAGGTCACAGAGCTTAGAGGCCCTAAGCTTCCAGAAAAGTCAGGGAAAGCAACCAAGGAAAGAGGTTTCACAATGGTCTCCAGCTCTGTCATCTGTGGGACATATCTATGGCAAAGTTTTCAAGTTAAATGTCTTCTTTCAGAAGTAAAGGTAGCAGAATCATTCCTTAAATTGTGTTTCATTGCCTTTTTCAATAGAATGCACTTTATTTTTATATGCTGGGAAATACACAGTTTGAAAATAAGACTATAAAGCTCATCAGGTTATAAATCTATTTTGAGGGGAACTCAGTAAAACTCTTCAAGTAACTAGCACTTACTGCCTTTAAGAATTAGCGTTTGGGATGGCATCCTCACTGCTGTGCCAGAACCCGATGACACCAGTTGAGATACACTTGAGTTGCAATGGTTTTGGGAGCACTGAGGCTGCTCCAGGTAGAGTTGGCTTGAGTCCAGCCCCACCATTTACCTGACATGGGAACTTGGGTAAGTTGCATGGCTCTTCTTAGCCTTGGGTACCTCATCTATTCTCTAGTGCAAATATGGAGGCATTCCAAAGCAGCACTAGCCAATAAAAATTGGCCCTGTCCAATAAAAATATAATGGGAGCCACATATGTAATTTATAATATTTTAGTAGGCACATTTTAAAAAGCAAAAAGAAATGGGAGAGTTAAATAATATTAATATATTTAACTCAATATATCCAANCACCCCCCCCACCACCACCACTGCATCAGGTACAGGAGTCAGAAAACTGATTGCTAGATGCTCCTGGATGGGCTGTTTGTGGCATGGGCACAGTGGAGGGATAATAGCCTAAGAGGGTATGTAAAAAAATGGTTCCCAACCCCAACCAGGGGGTATAGACTTGGTACAAAGGAGGAACCTAAAAGGGACTCATAACCCTGCAGAAAGTGGAGATGAAATGAAAAAGTAGGTGTAATAGGAGTGAGGAGTGAGAGATAGAATAGAATATTGAATTTTCAGTGTTGCAGAGGTAGGACTTTTCTGGTTGATGACATTTTAGGAGTAGGTTCTAGAAGTGAAGGTGACGTTGTAGAAATGGTTGGTGTATAGACTAACTGCTATCACAAGTAGATGAAAACATGTATAATGGCTTAATTATAGTCAAGGTTTATTTCTTGCTCTTATAAATAGTCCAAGGTGGTCAGTGGGGGTGTCAGCTTCACTGTAACTCAAGGACCCAGGCTGATGGAACCTCCATCATCTTCAACCGGAAGCTCTCTTTCGTCATCTGGGCATTG